TGGAATGTGACCAGAGTGATGGACAGCACATCCAGGCCTGGCCCATAAAAACATCACACGCTAGATACTCCCTTCTCTGCTCCTATCAGTCAACTGAATGGAGAATACTCCAAAAACCAGAAGAGGTCAGAGCGACAAGACAGCAGGAACCTGAGTCCTTGAACTTTCCTTGGAAGGAAGTTGCCCAGCCAGGAACTTGCACTGTATTAGCCACTGGAATTTGGGGGCTGCTTGTTACAGCACTTGGCCAACCATGATTGATTATACTTAGTACTACCAGGCTTTAGAGACTTTAAATTAGAAGTATGAGTTCGACTCCTGATAACAGTACACAAATTTGTCATTTATTTCCTCATTTAAAAATGTTACCGTTTGGAATCTTGGATTTAAAAGGAAAGCATCCAAGAATTCACTATAATTTCCTCATTTTACATATTAGAATCTAAAGCCCAGAGGGGTGAAGCGATATTCCCAAACCAGTGCTGGTGTGAGAGCCAAAACTGACATACACCAGGCCCTCGATATTGGTTGCATGAACGAATGAATAAATGACTCCTACTCAAGTGTGCCACTGTCCCATGCTCCATGATTTTCTAAAGTGTATAGTGTCATCAGTTGAATTGTGCTCCCCTCCCCCACCAAATTAATATGCCGAAGTCCTAGCTCCCAGTACATCAGATTGGGACCTTCTTTGGAAATCAGGTCTCTGCAGATGTAATTAGTTAAGATGTGGTCACTAGGGTGGGCCCTAATCCAGTATGACTGGTGTCCTTACGAAAAGGGAAATTTGGACACAGAGACAGACGCCATGGAGGGAGGACGATGTGAAGAGACACAGGGAAAAGAAGGCCGTCTGCAAGTCCTGGAAAGAGGGCTGGAGAGATCCTTCCTTCACAGCCCTCAGAAGAAACCAACCCTGCCGACGCTGCGATTTCAAACTTCCGGCCTCCAGAACTGTGAGACAATAAATGTCTAAGTCCCCCAGTTTGTGGTACCTTGTTATGGCAGCCCTAGCAGACGAATACATAGAGTAGTGACCCTAGCTATGCAAAGGCAATTTTTATGTAGATTATAGTAGTGACAAGTGCTCATTATCTTGCTCTTCTGGCAACAGATTTATTTGAAGAAAATTTTCTCCCGGAGTTATTCCTGAATGACAGCCAGTGTCCTGTCTTGACTGCAGGTCTCAAGAGCCACGGCAGCCACCATCAGGAGAGGGAGGAGCCAGCGCTTCTGGTCCTCACCTGGTGTCTGCTTCAACTTGTTCAACCCCGCCCGATGCAGACAGTTCCCCTTTCCTCCTGCCTCCTTCCCTTCAAGGCACAGACTTTCAAAAGTTCACTAGTGCTCAGTAAGATTTCCCAAGCACCAACAAAATGATTCTAGAACTCTCTTGCAATGTTGCATTCCATGAAATAAAATCAACTTCTCCATAAAGCTCTGTCCAGACAGCCCTGTTTTGCTGCAAGTGTGTCAACCTGGTTACTACCATGGATGTCTGACGTGAGCCTATGCAAAGGACAATTGCACGCCAATCTAAGAGACGGTTACCATTATGGGTAGAAGGAAAAAAAGTCTGATTGCTTTAGATCATGAGTCCCCCGAAGCTGGCTGCTCATCAGAACAATTCTGGGAACTCTTAAATACAAGTAGAAGTCCACAGGGCTTTACACCAACCCTGAAGATGGTGACTGAGTGGGTCTGAGATGGGGAACGGGAACTTGAGCCACTGTGGCAATTCTGGTCTGGGAACCACGGATTTAGGTCAGCTGGCTTCCGCAATAAATTTCAGCTTCACGTCCCGCCTTCTCATATTTATATTCTTTCAAGTAGACTGCCTGAGCATCCTTAAAAATGTGTCTGACACTTAAACAACATCTTCTATATTGTGTCTTAAAACACACACACATCTGAATACAGAGCACTTGTGCAAAGTTCCTTTCTCGCTCGTAGGAATCCCATGCCAACTGAGGTCCCTCTCCTTCCCAAAGCTTTTCGTATAGGCTCCTTTGCCGCACCTGCTGTCAAAGTCTTGATCTTGTTCAGTCTTCTCTCTGTCATCTTGCACAGGTCCACATGTTTATGCTCCCAAAGCACTCTGCTGTTGCAAAGGCATCAATGGCTCCCTACTGCACTCCCACCTGGACCCGCTCCGTGGCTGGGCACTCAAAGTTTCCGCCACACAGTCAGACGCACCTTGCGCTCCCATCTCCGTAGACTGCCTGGGTGCCTCCTCCCCCGAATGCTGCTGCTGCTCCTCCTCCTCCTCTTCTCAACACCCTCCACCTCTTCCACCTGCTCCCCTCCCCCACAACACACGCCATCACTTACAACTGTCTCACAAACTTCAGGCATTCTCCTGCCAACTGTAGTCAGTATCTTAATATTTTTCTTTAAACCTACATATTGTTTCTACTTAAATTTACTCTCAAAGTTAACTTTATATTCCTACCATAAATATAAAAACAGGAACCATTGCTATAAAGTAACCATAAAAATACAGAGAACACAAAACAGTCTTGCTAAACTCTGCGTATAAGGTCCACTCTCTTTTAGGAGCTCAGTGAGTGTCAGAGAGGTGTTATAAAGCTTTACTAGGGCCAAATGGAGACTTTCTCCTCAAGGCAGGCAGCCGGTCTGAAGGAAAGCCAAAGCAGGAGTGACTATCTTGCTGTCTGGTGTCTTGTAGAGATGTTGGTGTCCTGTCCATGGACCACCCCACATCAGCACCCCCACCACCAGCAGTCGTGTCCCAACCTCTGGGAAAGGCTGACTGATGAGAATCACGCTCTGCCTTCGAGGCTCCTTTATGAAGCCACTTCTCACCAGGACAGTCAAAAGAAAGTTCTCCAGCTCCTGAACTCCAATAACATCTTTACCATGCACCTGGGACCTGGCCTCAGAAAACAAAGTGGAATATGGTTTCTATGTAACATGATTTTGGCAGGACTGCAGTCTCCTTGAGTGCACGGACTGTGTCATCTACATTCTGCTTTCCTTGGAACACCTATAACATCATCTTTAACACAGGATGTAAGAAACACTGGTGAATACATGACACAAATCAATTCCTGAATGCATTCGTTGAATTCTGTAAAAGCTTAATGAGACAGATTCCAAATTCTATGATGGCTTTATTCATAATCCCCCCGAGCTGGAAACAACTCCATGCTCCTTACTGACTTCTTCACCACCAATGGCCTTTTGCCTATCTCTGAGTCCCAAACAAACGGATTCACCCAGTTTGGCTTCATGTCTGGCTTCTTTTACAGAGGGATCATTTCGAAACTAAAGTACATCCTGCCCAGCTTAAAGCTGCCTTCGGGCTTCCCACTACTATTATAATAAAATCTGCAAGCCCCAGTGTGGCCACCTGGGCCCTGCGTGAAGTGACCCTTGCCTAACCCTTCAATTTCATCTACTTCTCCTCTCCTGTCCCCATCCTCCACCACACTTTCTGTTCCTTGAACTAGCCAAGTCCTCTGTCACTTCTGAGGTTTTGCTCAAGCTCTGCTTAGCTGGCTCCTTTGCACCCTTTAGGTCTTGGCTCAAACTTCCAGAGGCGCCTTGGCTGACCACCACCAAGGCAGTCTCTCTGCCCCCCGGTCCATCATCCTCTCGTTTCTTTCCTACCACTTGTCACAATCGATAGTGCCTTGCTCAGTTATTGTCTATTTCTCCAACTGGAACGTGAGTTCCATGAAGGCAGGGGCTGTATCAATCTCATCCGCCATGATATCCCACCATACAGTGCCTAGGACAGGGGCTGGCTCATAACAGTCATTCAGTGAAGGCTGGTGAATGAAGAATAATTTACAACAGGGAGAAACAGTACAGGGAGGCCTAATGAAATTCAAGCAGAGTTAATATGGGTGAAAATACAGACAGGAGTTGTTGGCATCCATGACATTTAACTAAATGCCAGGCTTTCTGTGGGCCAGCAGAACACCAAAGACACAAACACTCTGGGCTACAGCAACAACACTGTGAAAGCCAAGTCATCAGTATTTCCTGCATGTGAGCTGAGCAGGTGAGCTCTTACATTAACTTATCTGTTCACTCATGTGAGTATTTACTGAGGACAGGTGACATGCCCTGGAGAGAATAAGCCCTGGAGGTATGAGATGGACAAGTCTTGCTCCCTGTGCTCAAAAACTCACAGGTGGGACACAGAGGATTTTTAGGGTAGTGAAAATACTCTGTAAGATACCATAGGATGGATAACTGTCATCGTATATTTGTCCAAACCCACAGAACATACAACACCAAGAGTGAACTCTGAAGTAAACTAGACATTTGGATGATGATGATGACGTCTTACCGTAGGTTCACCAATTCTAACAAATATACCACTCTGTGGGGGTGTTGATAATGGGGGAGGCTGTGCACGTGTAGGGGCAGAACGTAGATGGGCAATCTCTGTACTTTCCTCTTAATTTTGCTGTGAACATAAAACTTCTCTAAAAAAATAAAGTCTTATTAAAAAAAGAAGAAAAAAACCTCTCACAGTCCAGTGGGGAAACCAACATACAAATACCAATTACATTCTGCCGAGATGCATGGGATAACAAGGTGCGCAGGGAACGGGGAAGAGGTTTAGCAGCCAAGGTTCACAGGGAAGTGAGCCCTCTGGAACCAAGGTTCACAGGGAGCAGGAGCCCTCCAGGCTGGCAGGTCAGGCAAGAGGAACAGGCACAGGGAAGCAATCACTCTGCAACTAAGTTCACAGGGAGCAGGAGCCCTCCAGGCTGGCAGGTCAGGGGAGCGGCCCCAGCTGGGGGTGAGCTGGACAGGCGGGGACATGTCACAAGAGGTAGTTTGAGCCTGTACTTCCAGTGGTGACGAGCTGTAGGAGGGTTTTAAGCAGAGAAACTACTAATTAGATCCGTGTTTCAGAAAGAATTGAAAGATGTTGAAACGACACATGGAGGGAAGGACACTAAATCATCTGATCTCCTCACTTACTGAGAAGGAACACACGACACGTGTAAACAACTCACTGTGTGACAAACTTCCGCTTTTATCTCTCTCAAGGCTCGTTCAGAAAACACGCAACCACAGCACCGCAGGAAGCAAAACCTGGAGAAACGAGCAATTATGGAGAAGGACAAATAACAATTTTTAAATCGTTACCCAGATTATCAATGAACATTTGTTCAATTTACACAAAGGCCAAGAACCACAAAGAGACAAATGGGCCATTGAGGCCATTACAAAAAAAATCAGTATGTCCAAAATAAATATATATATTGACATTAAAACCACCAACATAGGCCATAGTCCTATTCCTACCCCCTTGCAATAATCCTTTCGAATAAGGTCTGTCCTATAAATAAAAATAGATACATTAAAAAAGAAACACTACAAACAAAAAGTCAAGGACAGAATAGGAACTCAGGGAGAAGATATTTTAAATACACATGAGATTAAGAGTTTATGAGTATTCAAAGAGGTGTTAAAAAGCAATAATGGGGCTGGCCCCAGGGCCCAGTGCTTAAGTGCTCGAGCTCCACTTCAGCAGCCCAGGGTTTCACCGGTTCAGATCCTGGGCGTGGACCTAGCACCGCTCATCAAGCCAAGCTGATGGGGTGTCCCACATGCCACAATAAGAAGGACCCAGAACTAAAATATACAACTATGTACTCGGAGGCTTTAAGGAGAAGAAAGAAAGAAAAAAAAGATTGGCAACAGATGTTAGCTCAGGGCCAATCTTGAAAAAAAAGAAAAGCAATAATAAACATTAAATAGAAAAATGGGCAAAGGACATTAACATAGAGTTCACAAAAGAAATACAAATGGCCAAAATATATAAAAGATGTGTAACCTCAACTGTTAATTAAAGAAATGCATTTCAAAACAATGACATGTAATGCTTTCCCTATCAGGCAATAATGAAAGAGCCTAGAAGAACCCAGTTGGAAACTAAGGAAACAGGCCCATCTGTTGGTGGGTGAGTACAACACGGGGGGACAACCTGGCGGTATCAAGCAAAGCATCACTTTCAGAATTCCTCTATAGAAACATGCCCCCAAGTCCGCAAACCCGCAAACACTTATGAAGCTGTGTAGTACAGCGCTGTCCGTAACAAGGAAAAAGGGGAAATCACCTAAATGTTCACCAATAGGGGAATGGGTAAACAAATTATGTATAGCTACTAAAAACAATAAGGTAAATCTGTATATAAGGTCATGAAAACATGTTCAAATTAGACAAAGAAGTAGGGAAAAAAAGAGGTTTCAAAATATGTATAACATGATCCCACAACTGTGGGAAGATGCGCATTTTATATTTCTCTTTGCAGAGGTGGAGGGGAGTGTGGTGTGTGTGCCGGTGTGTGTGTGTGTGTGGGTGGGGGGAGCATTCAACACCAAACAACTAATAATGCTACCACCAGAGGCCAGGACTGAGGGAAAAGGGCAAAAAGCACTTTCACAGTTTTACTTTATGTATCCCTATAAAAACACCACAATAGGTATTTTCTCCAGTTTCCCAGGGAGTATAATGGATACAAATTGCCCTAACAAAAATCCAATTAACAACATTGTCCTAAATTCATTAAATGTTGTTTAGGATCAAAAAAGATTTCTATTTTACTGATGCTTACTAATTATTAGAATTTAGAAAATTGTTTTTCTTTAAACAAAGGCCCAGTGTTTTTATTATACTAGTAATTTATTTCTATTTTTCGATAAATTTAAATCTTTATCATACAAACTTTACTAAATATACAAACTAACCTCCAAATCAATTTTCTAGTGCAGAGGCCCTATTTTTTTTCTTGAGGCAGATTAGCCCTGAGCTAACATCTGCTGCCAATCTGCCTCTTTTTGCTGAGGAAGACTGGCCCTGAGCTAACATCCGTGCCCATCTTCCTCCACCTTATATGTGGGATGCCTGCCACAGCATGGCTTGCCAAGTGGTGCCATGTCTGCACCCAGGATCCAAACCAGCGAACCCCAGGCCGCCGAAGCGGAATGTGTGCACTTAACGGCTGCGCCACCAGGTCGGCCCTGCAGAGGCCCTATTAATAGCAGGAGGTCAAAGCCAAAACAGGCAAAACTCACTTAACTGGGAAGAGAAAAAGGGGAAGAGACTAACCAGAAAATGAACGGGAAAACACTAGGAGAAGCCATGTCACAGCAAGAGGCTACAGGTAACCCCTGCTCAAGACCCCAGAGTTCAGTTTCTACTAAGTTCCTCTTTTGCGATAAGCTATGGTTTTCTTAAAAAGAAGCAGGAAGTCAGACACAAAAGGTCACATACGGTGATTCTATTCATAGGAAATATCTGGAATAGGTAAATCCATAGAGACAGAAAGCAGACCAGTGGTCACCAGGGGTTGGGGGAAGGGGAGAATGGGTAGGCGGTTTTCTTGTGGGGTGAGGAAAGTATTTTGGAACTGGATGGAGGTGGTGATTGCACAACATTGTGAGTACTAAAAACCACTGAAATGTACACTTTAAAATGCTTAGTTTTATGTTATGACTTTCATCTCAAAATAGTATGTGCACACCCACACACACGCAAGTAGGACAAGGTTAGGAACATGAATCTGTTCCCTAGAATATTTCCTGCTTGACCCAAATGGTGAACTTAGCTTTTTATTTTTTATTTTATTTTTTTTTAAGATTTTATTTTTTCCTTTTTCTCCCCAAAGCCCCGCGGTACATAGTTGTATATTCTTCACTGTGGGTCCTTCTAGTTGTGGCATGTGGGACGCTGCCTCAGCGTGGTTTGATAAGCAGTGCCATGTCCGCGCCCGGGATTCGAACCAATGAAACACTGGGCCGCCTGCAGCGGAGCTTGCGAACTTAACCCCTCGGCCACGGGGCCAGCCCCCTAGCTTTTTATTTTTATTTACTTTTGTTTTCTCAGCTTTATTGAGGTCTAACTGACAAATCGGAAGTGTATGTACTTAAGGTGTACAACTTGATAATTTGACAGACCTATACACTGTGAAATGATCATCGCCATCAAGCCAATGAACATATCCTTCACCTCACATAGTTACCACTAAATGGTGAACTTTGAGAGAGGCCTAGAAGACTTACATTCACACTATTTGAAGAGCATAATCTTTAAAAGCACACAGTCCTTGGGCCTTAAATTTTACTTCTCTCCAAACCCATAAGGCCACAGTTATTCCACTGGAGAGCCTGTGCTTCGTCTCTCTGGTGTAGCGTGCCACACACCGCACACATGTCTGTTAAATGAGTGTGTACAAATGTGCCAGAGTAATGTGGTTGTTTACTGCTCAAAGTTCTTACTTACTTGAGATGCTTTTCCCCCCACTTTCTTGAATTGAAAATAGTAAAAAAAAAAAAATGCTACCTTTCAACATGTGGTATGTTAGATGGAAGTTTCTAGAGGACAGTCTATTAAAGATACTTCTAATGGTGTGAAAAGGGTTTAAAGCTTTTGCTTAGCAAGACATCCTATAAAAAGGTACCTACTAACCCATTCAACATTTGTATTTTTTTAAGGGGAAAAATATACAGGTCACTTACATTTGCCATATAAATTTCAACCTAAAATTTCTGGTGCCCTAGCCAGAGGATTCGTTAGCTACAAATCAAAAGCAAGTTATCATTATCAGCTGGACCTTTTGCTGAGTGACAGACCATCCACTCTGTACCATTGTTTTGTTGCATAGTTTCTGGCAATTATAAGGAAATAGGCTTTGTCTGATGGAAAACATTTGTCCTTTGCTTTCTTTCCCATAGGAAAAGATCAAATAACCCAACTTGTCTCATAAGTGTCACATGAGAAATTTTTAAGTCCCTCTTTACTTGAGGTTCTCAAGAAACTACAGAACACTCAAGAACAGAAGGCCACAGACAACAAAGTTGAGTGGCCTTCAATGCCAGAGTACAAAAAGGGAATGAATGTGGTCTGGCGAGGAGCAGCCTCTAAGACACTACCCATACCAAAGGGTATCTTACAGAAGCGCATGTGATTACAAGCTAGGGCACAAATCCCAACAATACTAGCATCATTTCACCAGATTCCACATCCACTACTGACCTGTGTCGGCCATTCATCTCCAAGCCCACAACAGGGCAGATGAATCGTGCCCGCTGGAGGTCATCGTGTTTGTCACCTTTGGTGTTTCCTTTATCTCCTTCCCAGGCGGGATTATCAGAAAGCCTTAGTTCTGTCACATTCTGTGAAAAAACATCAATATTTTAAGAATTCAAGGGCCGGCCTGGTGGCACAGTGGTTAAGTTCATACACTCTGCTTCTGTGGCCCTGGGTTGGTGGGTTTGGATCCCGGGCGTGGACCTACACACTGCTCATCAAACCATGCCATGGAGGTATCCCATATACAAAACAGAGGAAGAATGGCACAGATGTTAGCTCGGGGCCAATCTTCTTCACAAAACAAACAAACAAAAAAGCATATATGTCAGGGCTGGCCCTGTGGCCGAGTGGTTAAGTTCGCACGCTCCGCTTTGGCAGCCCACGGTTTCACCAGTTCGGACCCTGGGCACAGATATGGCGCCGCTCGTGAGGCCATGCTGAGGCAGCATCCCACATGCTACAACTAGAAGGACCCACAACTAAAATATACAACTATGTACTGGGAGAATTTGGGGAGAAAAAAGCAGAAAGAAAAAAAATGATTGGTAATAGCTGTTAGCTCAGGTGCCAATCTTAAAAAAAAAAAAAAGAATTCATCTGATAAATGGATAATCCTTAGCCTTAGTAACCACCCAAATCAACAGAAAGATTGCTATTCTAGTACCTTCCTATCCAAACCTCTAGTTCCTAGCTACTTTCCTTTGGCCATCAATTAATATGGATATAAAATTAAAAATAAATTGTGATAGGAACAAGATTTTGAAAATACACTGACCAGTAAATAAATTAATTTCTATTTTGCAAACATTTTACTATATAAGGAAAAGTAACTTCTGACATCAAAAAAACATTACTCCACTAAGAGAAAGCTTTGTACTAATTCCATGCAGAAAGGAATGCTTGCTTTTTTTCTTTTTTAAATAAACTCATTAATTGCTTAAGCTGTTTGGTTTCTTTTTGAAGATTGGCCCTGAGCTAACATCTGTTATCAATCTTCCTCGTGGTTTTTTTCCCTACCCAAAGGCCCAGGACATAGTTGTATATCCTGCTTCTAGGTCATTCTAGTTCTTCTATGTGGGATGCCATCACAGCATGACTTTACCAGCGGTCTGTAGGTCCACACCCAGAATCCGAACCAGTGAATTCCGGGATGCTGAAGCGGAGCGCACGAACTTAACCACTCAGCCACAGGGCCGGCCCCCAGGAATGCCTTCTTTACCTGCTGATGAATCCTCACGGAGGCTGCTTCATATTATCAACCATCTGTGTTTAATAGTTGAATAGACAGTAAAATCTGTGAGGCCACAGCCTAATGAGTCCAAGGCAAACTATTAGCCAGAGAATACTATCATATTCCAAGATCTGGCCATTCAGGTTTATAAAAACTCAACTTCCTGGGGCCGGTCCCGTGGCCGAGTGGTTAAAGTTCACGTGCTCCACTTCAGCAGCCCAGGGTTTTGCCGGTTCGGATCCTGGGCATGGACATGGCACTGCTCGTCAGGTCACGCTGAGGCGGCGTCCCACATAGCACAACCAGAGGAACTCACAACTAGAACTCACAACTAGAATATACAACTAGAATATACAATGAGGAGCTTTGGGGAGAAGGAGAAGAAGGGAAAAAAAAGATTGGCAACAGCTATTAGCGCAGGTGCCAATTAAAAAAAAAAAATTCAACTTCACAAGGAGTTCGACTTAGCCCTCTTTTAGCATTTGAGGCATTTCTTCACATTTAACCCCATCATTCTGATTTCAGAACTCTGGAGAGCAGCTGAGTGCCTCAAAAGGAAAGCCACCATGCACACCGTCAGCTTCCCCGCTGACAGCTGGCATGTGTCTCGAGTTCTCAGCTCAGAGCATTTGTGGACTAATCACTGACAGCAATGATCATCTACATTTGCGTTACTTTCAGTCCTTTTGTCTTTACAGTTCCAACCTCTTGCAAGTATTTTTGCATTAAAATTAAAAGTTCAAGCACATACACTGAATATTGTTTTTAGTATAGAATTATATAAATTAATTTCAATGATAATCACACTTGTGAGGTAAGATAATTACGCTACCATGGGTTTTCAGGAGCAAATTCTCTTCCAAAAGTAAAAGATGACGGTCATTTCTACAGCACTACCATTAGCTGCATTTCAGAATTACCAGTTTGCCTGAAATGTCTCCTATAATTACCCAAGAATTCAAACAAAAAGCTTAATAATAAATAAAAAAGAAAATAATGCAAATAATAAAAAGGAAAGAAAAACCCCAAAGCCTTAGACCAGGAGTCCTGGGCTCTGGTTCCGGGTCAAGCAGCTCATGACCCAGCCGTGTGGCCTCAGTGAGTCATTTACGCGAGCGTTCTCACCTGTGAGATGAAGTGTTTGACAAGCTTGATGGTTCCCAAATTCTTCACTACTTTTCTAATTCTTCTCCTATTAACCAGATTTGAAAGATTTTGTCCTCTCAACTAACTTCCTTTATTAAAAAACTTGTTTTTACACTTTTATCAAAGAACTATAATCAGCAGGTGATGACCACAATGGTTTAATAGTAATCTACCTATAAAATTCTCTAATTTTATACAAGTGTCTTCCAAATTAACAAGTAAGTAGCTGAGTTTTAACTACAAAAATAATGTCTCCTGGGGCCGGGTCCAGTGGCATAGGGGTTAAATTCACATGCTCTGCTGCAGTGGCCTGGGTTCACTGGTTCGGATCCTGGATACAGACCTATATACCTCTCCTCAAGCCATGCTGTGGCAGGCATCCCACGTATAAAATAGAGGAAGACAGGCACAGATGTTAGCTCAGGGATAATCTTCCTCAGCAAAGAGAGGAGGATTGGTGGAGGATGTTAGCTCAGGGCTAATCTTCCTCAAAATTTAAATAAATAAAAAATTTTACAAAGTAAATTTAAAAAAATAAATAATGCCTCCCAATACTTACACAGCACATTAAGAGTTTTCAAAGCTCTTTCACCCTTTTTTTTTTTAAAGATTTTATTTTTCCTTTTTCTCCCTAAAGCCCCCCCAGTATATAGTTGTGTATTTTTTCTAGTTGTGGGTCCTTCTAGTTGTGGCATGCCGCCTCAACATGGCCTTGAGAGCGGTGCCATATCTGCATCCAGGATCTGAACCAGCGAAACCCTGGGCTCCCGAAGCAGGGCGTGGGAACTTAACCACTCGGCCACAGGGCTGGCCCCTCTTTCACACGTGTGAAATCAACAGATTTATAATGCAGGAAGCACAGGTGTGGGAACTTCTGGCTTGAACTTTGAGCACCTGGCCCAAATCACACCTTTGTCAGGCAGCTACGTGGCACTGGAATTCCAAATTTCTGAGCTCGGTCTATAATGCACAAAAAGTCTATAAAATGAACCTTAACCACGGAGACCCTTGGAGCATTTCAGAATCGCCTGTCTCACCTTGATGCTTTTAATGTGAGAGGCTGCCTTCCCAAGAGCCTTTTCAGAAGATTTGTCCAGCAGAAACTCAATGACGGCGTCTTTGTTGTAAAGTCTGCAACAACAAGAAGGACCAGTCAAAACTTTCTGGCAGCAATCGACCTTCACACGGAGGAGGAAGACTAGAGCGAGCACAATCCAAAGTCATTTACTTTTGATAACAGAAATGTCCTGCATTACTAAAACAGTAAATTTAATCCTATCTCAACTACTTCCAGAGCAAAGAAAGAAACAAACTAGTTTAAATCAAGGATTGCAAACTGGCAGTCTGAGGGCTGAATGGGACCTGAACAAGGATTTTAAAAATTGGGAAATATAATTCAAAAGTACACATTTTCAACTTTTCTTGAAAAACACATGTGCGTGCGCACACACACACAAGTTCAGAATCACCAGGCCCACGTTCTTGAACTGCAACAACTGGCTAGAAGTGAGTAGCAGCTACCCCTTTAGACAGGATATGAACTCTCCAGTTTCCCCCAGTCCCCATCATTTCCTACTGCCCACAGGGTTCCTTCACGCATTTACGTTTACAACTTAGCTCCTATTGGCCCCTGAGTTTTCGACCCGTGATTAAATACACCCAACTGAATCGGAAAGTGCAGATCTACATTCAGAGACAGAGGATGATAACCCAGGCTTCACAAATTTGAGATAATTCACATATGGTGAATCAAGAACTGCATTTACACATTAAAATTCTTTTTAAAATCATTTAATAAAAAGTCATCTTACGTAAAGGAACCATACCTGCCAAGTTCACAAGCAACTATTGGTCGCCTTAATATTTCTTGACTTAGAGTACAATAGTTCCATTGGGCCACTAATTCAGCATCTTTGTCAACCTAAGAAAAGAAAAAAAATCCTTTCAATTAATTTTCACCTCTGAAAAACATATGGTCCACAGTTCTTTCACATAAAGGCTTATTCAGTAATAGCACACTGTGACAATTTTTGTTTTTTAAATCAAAGACAGTGACACACGAAGCTGGGATTTAAAACGTCAAAGTAATCAATACTATGTCAAATAAAGTCCCCTCTAAACATGACACCACAATGAAACAGTTTACATCAAATTATTAAATTGCTTATGCAAACTACATTTAAACATTAGTATTTATATCCTAACAGTAAGCTAGGAAGCCATACAGAAAAAACAAGCAGTATAGGCTAATTTCTAACAACGGGAAAAGCTCCAAAGTTTTAGCAGACTTTAAGCACTAAGAATTGAGAAGATAGGCATTTTTTTTTTAAGTTCAGTACAAAGGCTATATCATTCTTTATAAAATCACCAATTTAACACAAGTGCTTTTTGCAAACTGTTCTTTAGGGAGCATACCAAATCCTTGCCCACGCTATGAAAATCCAGATGTAAGAGCTTCCATAGCCCACAAATGATACTTTTGCCTATATAATATTACATGTCCCATGCTTTCCCCCTAAAATGCCAAACCTGAACAATGGAACAGGATGGCACATCTGGGAAAAAAGAGGAAGAGAAAAGGACAAAATAAGGAGAAATTCCCTTAAATTTAATTTTTCTAGCAACAATTGCTTAAGCATTTATGGTGTGCCGGGTGCCGCGCTAAGCAGTTTCTGTGACTTAATCTTTTAGCCCTCACAAAAACCCTATGACTTAGTATTTGTACCTTTGTTGTGGAGGAAACTGAGGCACCAAGAGGTGAGGCTGCATGTCCAAGGTCACTGAGCAAGCAGACGAAGGAGCTGGGATAAGAAGCCAGCAGGCTGGCTCTAGAGACCAGGCTTTTAATCACTACCTGTTATTTCAAACCAACCAAAACAAAACCCACACTCGGCAATTGTTATTTTATCCACTCCCCAGATCTGAGAGCCACACTTTGGCAGCTTAAACAGCTTTTATCAAAATTCACACTGCAGTAGAGCCCCGAGAGAGACCCGCCCCCAGTGAAGTCGACCTACTACATCTTTTGCAGATTCAAAAAGCCACATTCAGCAAGTCCAGGACCTCCCTTCTGGAGCCCCCTCCGGCTTCCCCCACAGTCCTTTACTGATTCAAAAAACACTTGGGAGAGTTGGGGACAAGGAGAAAAGTGATAAATTACTTCTTACTCAGGGATTTAAAAATTGGTCCCTTGAAAAAACTCCTGAAAACATTTTTTCCCAGGTCTCTCTTCTTTTCAGGGTAAGGTCTTAAATCCGAGCAATTTTGGGCCAAACACATCATATGAGTAATCAACAAATATTAAATTGTTATATATCTATTTGAAATGCAAGCTCCACAGGGCTGGACTCTGTTCACTGCTGTACCCCCCGGGCCTAGAAGGGTGTATATGCTAAGCTCTTCGTAAGGATTTGTTGAATAAATGAGGATGTCAAAAGTCCATCCTACTGAGCACTCTGGTTGTTTCCAATCATCCTTTCTTCATTTCTAGCCCCTTCTGACACCTGTTTCTTGCCAAGCCTTTCATTAAGCTACTCCTCTTCAGCCCTGGCCACAAGTTAACAAAACTGAGCCGAATACTTCTTTGGCAAAAGCTCTCCTGAGTGCCAACTATCCAGCATGAGTCTATGCAGATGGAGATATGGTTAGAGGGCACAGTCCATCCACGTGAATGTTCAACCATTCTGGCACTCAATACATTTACTGGGTGTCTGTTGTGTGGCAGACACATTGTAGGGGATACAGAGGTAAGACATACAAGGTCCCTGTCCACAATAGGAGAGTGACAGACAATAAATAAATATAGTGATAAGCACTGTAAAGAAAGGTAAAGCGGGAGAAGAGGACGGAGATGACTGGAAGTAAGGTGTATTTCAGCTACAGTGGACATTTAAGAACTGAATTGCAGTAAAGAAACAAATGACACAAATACCTCAGTGAAGAACACATCAGGTTGAGGAAATTATACTCCAGGTAGAGGAAAAAGGCCTTTGTAACGGGAACAAAATGCAAGAGCTGGAGAGGAGCAGAAAATGAGGTGGAAAAAGACGCAGGGGATCAGGTCACACAGGGCCTTATGGGATTTTATTCCAAATATGACGGGAAGCCTCTGGAGTGTTTTAAATACAGTAGTGATATACAGGATTACCTTTTAAAAAGAATTCTCTGGTTGCTGAATGGAGAATATAGGGAGCACCGATGTGTGCCAGGCACTGTATTAGGTGCTTTGCATGCTTCTATTATTAAAAAGTAACTGCTAGTGCTAACTTTGAAGTCCTGAATAAACAGATGGGAATCCTGGCTTCATTACCGACCAGTTGTATGATCTTCGTCACGTTACTGACTCAATTTCCTTGTCATTAGCATGAAAATTCTTACACATAATTTGCTCAATTACCTGTGATAATTAGGGATTATTCACTAAATTTACTGTGCCAGGAACTGTGCCAGTTGTAGAGGCGGGAAAAGGCTAGTTTCTACCACCAGGAGCTTACCATCCCCTGAGACCGACATTAATCAACCATGAGCAGCGCACAGGGTGGTAAGAGAGTTTTCAAGAGAAGGACCTGATCTCATGGCGGTTAAGGGGACGTTTGGGAAGACTTCCCTGAGAAAATCAGGTTAGTGTACACAAAGTTCAATAAACAGCGGCCATTTGGATCACTGTTACTAATGGCACATAGGCTTCAAATCCTGGCTCTGTCACTTAGTAATTATGCAACTTTCTCCTCTTGATACTCAATTTCCATGTCTGAAAAGCGAGGAGAATGACAGTACGTCCTAACAGGGCTGTTGTGGGAATTACAGGAGATACCCCACATTAAGCGTACTGCCGGGTGAATGGCAATAGCAAGCACCCAATAAAGGTCCGTTATGAACGTTGTTATTAATTTTCAGTTCCCGGAATGGGATGAATAAGCGCAGCTGTGTCTGGAACCCCGCTGGCTCCCCCCGCTCCACCTCCCCTCGCTCCCTAGGGGGTCTCACCACCCCGAGTCCCCACCCGGCCCACGTGGCTGACCTTCTCAACCTTCTTCGGCCCCTTCACCAGTTCGTGCCTCTTGGGGATTGTTCCCCCGTCGCAACCCATCGCAGGCCAGGAGTCAGTCAACAGCAACCACCCACAACGGTCACTTCCGGGGTCCCCGGCGACTGCGCCGGTCACTTCCGGCGCGCCGCGGTGACGCACACGCCCGCCGCGACGCAGCGGGGCGGGGCGGTTGCCAAGCCTCGGTTGCCATGGAAAGCGTCACTTAGCGCTGGGCGTGGCCCCGGAGAGCGAGCTGGGCCTCGCGTGCGACGTGGGCTGCGGAGCTTAGCCGGGTCTGAGTGGCTGCGGCCGGCCGCTTCCTGTTTCCGGCGGCGCTGCATTTCTGCTGCGCGATCGCAATCTCTCGCTCGCGCTCGGAGGGCGGGGAGCCGGGGCGGCGCGGGCGGGGGTGACTCAGGAGCGCCCACTGACCTGGGCACCGTGCCACCACCCAGCCTGTGTCACTGTGGGTCTGCGTTCCCGAGCCTGGGAACGCGTCGAGGGAAGGAGCTGCGTTTTATTAATGCAATTAATGATGCGTATCAATGGGATCTGTTATTTCAGTTAAGGTTTATGTGTTTAAAGGAGAGCATACCTTTTTATTGAGCGCTGACTGTGACCTAAGCGCTCAACAACAAATCCTGTGAAGGATGTTAAAGGAGATATTGGAGGAGTAAGTGTCTCTGTCTAAGGCCTGAAACTTCCTGATACTGCCAGGTACATTGTATGTATTTGAAATATTGCGTAGTTTGTACATGTGTGTATTTCATTCACAGCCTCCTGAAGCCCAAGCTAAAATTTTTTATTTCTTGAAAAGCAGACAAGCAAAAACAGACGCAGATATAAAAGGTACACTGATGTTTCCATGCCTTTTCCAAGAGACAGGCTGTATTGCATCTATAATGAGAACACAAGTCTTTTGCAAAAGCCCTGCTGAAATCCATGACTGTTTGCTGTCATGCTTTTGAGTGTCTCTCCGTTTGTTTCTTTAATTGCTATAAATATTAGGGGACGGCCTATCTACTGCAAGCAAGGTGGACCTTTGTGGTTGGTCGTTAGCCTGTTGACCAAAGGGAATCATAAAAAGCTGAAAATATTCCCATGTGGGAACAGAAAATTTGTGGATAGGAAAACTTGAAGGGCTGTGAGATTGGGTTATCTGTTACTGCAATTAATGGGAATTAAGGAATATGTAAACCCTTTAATCAGTTGGTCTCTCATTGGCTTATGATTTTTTAGGCCAGTCACAAGAATTGTAACCTCTGTGAGGGTAGGGACTTTGTTTTATTCTCCATTGCACCTTCAGTGCCTGGAGGAGTCTTTGGCACACTGGATATTAATTTCCTGGATAAACCAAAAGAAAGTGCAGACTCCTTCAGAGAGGCCAGACAAGCCCAGTTTTGGCAGACCCTAAGACTGATAAGAATCCCATTTACAGGTGAGGAAACAGAAGCTAGAAAGATCAAACGACTTGTCCAAGGTCACACGGCTAGTAAGTGAGAGCTGAGAATGTTTCCAAGATTAGTTTTCTCTACAGAAAATCAGATCCAGAACGGCAGAAACCTAAGGATCTTTAGATAGACTCTCAAACCCGTGCTCTTTTCTGGCAAGTAAACCTGCCCCTCACCAAGTTCACTTGGGGAAGAAAAAATAAAAATAGCTGCTCTCTATTAAACCGTGACTATACACTGGGAGGTTTGGAGGCGTGACACACCCGGGACGCAGACATACGAGGTGTTTTGGGTCAGGGGCACACAGCAGGTGAGTAGAAGCTGAGGGACTTTCTCAGATGAGGCCCATCTAAGTACAAACACCATGTTCTTTAATCTCACTCCTCCCACCCCTCAAAGCTGCTGCTGACACCCAGCGGTGCCAGCTGTGCGAGCGTTGAAGCTCAGGCAGCTGGATTTTTTTTTGTCTTCCTCCTTGGTTTCCTCTTTTAGAATATTGGTCTCTGGGCTGCTCTGTGCTACAGACTGTACACGCTAAAATTTCTGTATGGTTTATTATCATCAATAGCAGCTCATTTGTGTTGAGAGCTGGCTGCGTGTCAGGCCCTATATTCAGCGCTTTACTTAATTTCGGCCATTCTGTTCTCCCACCCACACTGGGAAACAGGTGCCCTTATCTGCTGCTTCTTTCCACTGCCTTTGTTGAACGAACTAATAAATGATATTCCCTTAGAAGGATCCTTGTGACACCTTTCCCCTAGTCAAGCTGTGGACTTGCAGGGTGGGAGACAAATGAAATCATGAAAGAGAAAACCCTCACCTTCTAGCAAAGCCAGGATTTCTGAACCTTTTTGGGATCATTGGAGCTGTTGGAGAATTTGATGAAAACTTTGGACTTATTCCCCTGAAAAATATCCTTTAGTACATGGGAAATTTTGCTTCAGCTTATAAGTGCATGTGTTTTGTTCACAGCGCCCTGAGGCTCCAGCTAAGAACCAGGACTTTAATTGTTTCTACGGCCTGTTACAATAGTTCCCAAATATTTCAGACTTCTAAACGGTTGAGGGTTGGATTTCCTGTTAGCTCTGCCTGTGTGCTCGTCCATAGCTGCACTGTAAAATTCTGTCTGGAAAATGCCAACACGCAGAGTAACCCATTTTAAGAGTTAGCGTGAAAGGATAAAAAACTACGTGTGAGGATTCTTTAGAACTTCACACCTACCATTTAAGGTTGCACTTAGGAGGATGTCGCAAAGAGCATTAAAATAAAACCAAGTGGAAAATTGAGGTGATTACTGAGATAACTCAAGACAAAAAATAACTTTTAATTTGCAGTTTTAGGGAAGCACTTAAAATGTCGCAGAAGCGTTCAAGGTCTCACGTGAACTGGCCCCTCGCCACACCCCAGCTCATCTTGGCCACTTTTCTTTGCCTCACTCGGCTCCAGGGCTCCCGCCGCGCTGGCCATCCTCCTCGCCCTCGAGGGCTCCCGGTGCATGACCACTTCTGGGCTCTTGTCTTGCTGTTCCCTCTTCAGGAACACTTTTCCCAGAGTTTGCCAGGCTGGCTCCCTTGAGTGATTGAGCCCTCTGCTCCTGGGCCGTCTCCTCAGAGCCGTGTTTGCTGACCTCTCTGTTTAAAAGAGCACCCTTCCTCTGGCATACTACCTCCTACCTTGGTTTAATTTCTTCATTGCACTTATCACCACCACCAACATGTTATAAATTTAAATTTTGATGTCTTGTTCACAGATTTTTTGCATTGATTTTGATTTAAAATATTGCATCAAAATATAATTTGATTACTAAGTTTTTGGGGAGCCCTCTGACATTTTGCATCCAAGGAGAGCGCCTCACTCACCTCACCCTCACCCTGGCCCTGGGCCTAGGTCCCCCCTCCGCTGGTTCCAGTGACAGCCACCTGATGCAGAGCCTTCCGTTGTCCCTGCAGAGTCTCTAGTGACCAGCAGAGGCCTGGGCAAAGATGAGGTGCTCAATAAATACTTGTTAAATGGATGTATGAAAGGAAAAGGACCTTAGCAAACAGCTTACACAAATGGGCCACTTTTGCAAACAGGCAGCTTTTGGAGACCTGGGTGCATACTTGGGGAGAACATAAAATTTTAAAAGATGTTTTATTAAAAAAATAGCTGCAGGGGCCAGCCCAGTGGTGTAGTGGTTAGGTTCACGCGCTCTGCTTTGGTGGCCCAGGGTTTGCAGGTTTGCATCCCAGGCACAGAGCTACACACTGCTCATCAAGCCATGCTGTGGCAGCATCCCACGTGCAAAATAGAGGAAGATTGGCATAGACGTTAGCTCAGGGCCCATCTTCCTCACCGCCCCCCCCCAAAAAAAAAAGCAGCCACAGTGAAAAACAATGTGGTGGTTTCTCAAAAAAAATAAATAGTTGCCACCAAACCAGAACCGTGGCTGCCCTGTGCTTGTCACACTGGAAGATCTCTTAACGAGGCTCCTCACCGCTTCCATCCTCCTGATGAAATTTAACTTAATTGAGGTCAGGTTGCTACCACTACCACCACCACCACACCACCTACCATTTCCTCTTCCTTCCTTGAGAGGAACCAGTACAGAATTCTGAGCATTGAAGAAAAATATTTAGCAAAAGTTCCAAAAGCTAAAAAATGTGATTTTGTTCTTCCTTTAAAATTTTTTTCAGCAGTGCTTATCCTATGGAATCAGTCAGTGGAAAGTCATCCCATAACTGCTCTCTTTCAAAAAAAGGAAGGAAACACATTTAGCTAAGAGCAGCAGTTTTCATTATTTTAAACCCAATGGTTCTGTACTTTTTCAACAAAGATCCTTGCTTTGAACTCATCTCAAAGAAAATATATATAGGTATATAGACAGATGTCCATACATATTAACATCTATTTATTTACATAGACATATATATATATGGTGTTCTGAAATCAATAGGGACCTGTTCATTACCTATTAAAGGTTATGTCACTAATGAAAGACTAACTGAGTTCAAACGTCTAAGTATTAAAACCATGTCTGGGGGGCTGGCCCCGTGGCCGAGTGGTTGAGTTCGTGCACTCCGCTGCAGGCAGCCCAGTGTTTCGTTGGTTTGAATCCTGAGTGTGGACATGGCACTGCTCATCAAACCACGCTGAGGCAGCGTCCCACATACCACAACTAGAAGGACCCACAACGAAGAATATACAACTGTGTACAGGGGGGCTTTGGGGAGAAAAAGAAAAAATAAAATCTTTAAAAAAAAAAAACCCATGTCTGGAATGTAATAATCACTTAATAGATATGTGCTGCTGCTGTTATTATTACTGTTGGGTAGAAAATAATTTGCCCACTGGAGTAAAGTGCAGAACCGCTCCTTCTCCCAACAACATTGCTGACTCTGCTAGGGGCTGCTGTTGGGACCCGGTCCTCCAGGGGTTTCTGCATTTCTGCATATCTAAGCAGAGGCATTGACGGCATTTTGTTCTGGGCTGTCTTTTCGAGGATGTTTGTAGCAAACGCCCTTGGAAAATAGAGATAATGTCTCCCTCTAGAGCAGAAGAGCAGGTCTGTTTGCTGTCCAGCGTCACAACGATAACGCTTCCCTTTGAGGCAAAGCTCGGTCTGGTGTGCTCAGAGCCCATTACGAAAGACTGGGCTTCCTATGCTCAGGGATCTTTGGCTGTGACACAAACCTATTGCGTGCACAGCATCACGTGCACCCACCTTTGCGCTGCCCCTTGGACTCGGGCGGTGTGTGGAAGTGATGTGCAGATGAAGCGTAAGCTGCTCGTGATGCTGTAGGAAAAGGCCTTTGTCCCTGTGCCGAAGACTTGACATGGCAGACCCGACTAGTACCCTTGGAGAGCCCTGCTTGCAAGGCTGGCCTGCTGTTGTTGTACAGGAACTTGGGTTTGGGGAGGGTTCCCAGCATCCCCGGAGTTGATAAGAATGGCTCAGTGAGCCCAAACTGTTTGTGCAAACAGTGTGATTCATGCTGAACACCTGCGTTCCTTCTGAGAGTCTGGAATTCTGGTACGTGCCATGCAGAGGGTGCCTATGTCAACAGCCTCAATAAAAACTCTGAGTGTGAGGCTCTCGTGAGCTCTGGCTGCCAATGTTTCACGCGTGTTGTCACCACTCGTTGGGGAATTCAGGGTGTCCTCTGTGCCCTCGGGGGGAGGACTCTTGAGCCTGGTTTCCTTTCACTTCACCCCACGTGCCTTTCCCTTTGCCGGATCCTTTCACTGTAACAGATAATGGCCATCAGTATGACCATATGCTGAGTCCTGTGAATCCTCCCAATGGATCATTAGAGCCGGGGGTGGTCTTGGGACCCTGAACATAGTCTCTGACCCCAGAATGTCATATCTTCTCTCAGCATCCATGAGACTGTGTCAGGCTAACTTGTTAATTTGAAGTAGGGGAAAATCTCACACACTTCACAGTTCTTGACAGAGCCATCCCTTCACTGCTCTCAGAACACACAGGAGTATGTGTGTGTGTGTGTGTGTGTGTGTGTAGGGATGAATTTTAGGTCTAAGCCAACTTGGGTATTACATGCTTCACTCATCATGGAGCTTTCAGGGGCAGGCAGTTAATTTAAGCTAGTCCAAGCAGAATCAAGTCTCTTTCTTCTCTTCGGGACACAAACCAAGAAGGACATAACCTGGGACAGCCACTTGCCATCATGAGAGTTAACTCAGAGAAGTGGGACTAAGAAACAGGGCTTTGATGATACTGTCAGAGCACCCAAAACTAGCCAGCCTTGAAGCCAGTCTGACCCTGGATTATGTTTTTTATTTTTATTTTTTGAGGAAGATTAGCCCTGAGCTAACATCCATGCCCATCTTCCTCTACTTCACATGTGGGACGCCCACCACAGCATGGCTTGCCAAGCGGTGCCATGTCCGCACCCGGGATCTGAACCGGAGAACCCTGGGCCGCCGAAGCAGAACGTGCGAATTTAACCGCTGTGCCACTAGGCTGGCCCCATGACCCTGGATTATTTTAAGTGACCTGAGTCAATAAATTTCCTTTATTGCTTAAGACAGATTGGATATTGTTTTTAGTCCCTTGTAACAGAAGGAGTCCTAACTGATACAGATCACAGCTGGTCAAAGACTGTGGATCTCTCTGTTCCAGTGTGGAGAAGCCAGCCTCACCAAGATGGGATTGTTTTTTAGGAACCCTGAGACTAACTCAGTGAAAATAACCAGTCTTCTAGGAGTCAATAATTTAAAAGTGCCTACCAAGTGCAGAGCAGCAGACAAGAAGCGGCCCTGGTACCATTTCAGGTGACTTCCAGCCTGGAGATGCTGTTTCCAGGCTGCAAAGGTGTTTAGTGGCTGAGATGCATGTAGAAGACATGGACCTTCACTGGAAGTGAAGTAGGGATGATGTAACCATAGCAACAGGAGCTGAAGCCCCAGCTGCAAGGAGAGGAAGAGGAGGCATTTTGACCCAAGGGGAGCTCTGCACACTTTCAGATCTGTGCCCGGGGATGGGTGGCCTGTCTGCACCACACTTCCTGGCTGTACCACCACGAGTGATGGCTTTGCTTTTCCCCTGCTAGCCTCGCCTGGCACGTGAGAACTTGGCCTCTATTGCATCTGCCTGCACACTTTGGGGAGAAGCATTTGAATAACGAAAGGAAACATTGGAGGCTTTGCTTTGGTGCCTGAATGCTTTTCTAAAGAAAGGATGCTGCAAAGGATGTTTCAGTTCATGATTCTATTACATAACATTATAAACGGTAACAGATTTGAGACTGTTGAGGTATAAACCTTTTCTAATTGAGCATATTGAATTTATCAACACAGAATCTATAACATACAAAATAAATTAATAGGGAACCCAACAGAACATGTTATGTTATAAACATAGCATATATCTTGAACTCACTTGAGATAAAATAGCAAACAAATACATATTTTTGGTATAAGATGCAGATACATAATTTGTACCAATCTCACAGAGTTAATTCAATCCAAATGAAAAACTTCTCACATTTTCTAACGGATGCAACAGAAATTAATCATTTGAAAGAAAATAAGTCTCCTCCTGTCCTCCAACTTTATTTTCTCTCTAGTCCCTGATACAGTGTAAATGTTATGTATCCCGCCATCACTTTGTTGTCTGTTTTACCTCTGGATTTTAAGCCTCTGAGGGCATGGCCTCTGCTATTCGATTCACTGCTATAAACCCAGCACCTAGAATTTGACATACCCTAGGTGCCCAAGAAATAAGCATTGAATGAATGAGTTTAAAACAGGCACACATTTAACCAATATAAAAATTGGTTTGTATGTCACTGCATACACTGACCCTTCATGAGATGCTAAAAAACTTAGCAAGGACCTGACTCTCTCTGGGATAAGTCAATGTCCTGGGGTTGCCTAGCCACTTGTAATACTGGCTTTGGCACTCCGTGGCTGTTTCTTCTCATTGGTGTATCTCCAGGCTGGCTTCTCCCATAGGACAGATTCGTATAGGTTGTGGATGTGAAGCTGAAGCTAAGAGGTTAATGGCGAGAAGGAGGGAGGGAGGAGGCTCATTGCAACGTCCCTCTGAATTGCCGTGTGTGTTGCTCCAGCTTCTCAGCCTCGGCCTGGAGCTGCCCCAGGGCTGCAGGGCTTGGGTACTTGAGCACGGCGTGCTTGGTGGCCAGCGCGAGGTTCTTGAGCAGGCTGCAAAGGTGGCTGCTGCCACAGAGGATCTCGTTGCGCACATCCCTCTCATGGGTCTCCTTGCACAGCGTGTCCACCAGCTTCTGCCCCACCATGATAATGAGCTTGCTCTGTGTGATGAAGATCTCTGGGGGCTGGCTGTTGCTGAGGCTCCTGGTAAATACACCGATGGCTTTGACAAGCGCCCCAAAATAGAGGCGGCAATGTTCAGAAAGGTGGATTTTCTTCTCAGGCGTCTGCTGACTCAAAGATCGGGGGACAAGGCAGCTAGGATTCTAGAGAAGGGGAAGAAAACAACAGATAAGAGATAGATTCGATCAACAGACTGTGGTTGTTCCCCTTTTTCTGTTTTTGCTCAATTTGCTAGACTGTTTATAAGAAAAAAGTACAGTTCAGTTTGGGAAGCCCCACAGTATAAACTTGGCCTAACAAATTAACATTAATGTTTTCAAAGCACCGTTATATATAGATTATAGTATTTGTATATGTATAAAATCTTATATATTGCACTGTATATACAATCTTACATATTATACATATATAAAATCTTATTCAATTCTATCCACAAACCATTAGAAACCCATTCTAAGAAACACATTGACAATGACTTAACTTATAGCTTAAAAGAATGCAGGAAAACTTGATGGTCATATTAAAAAATTTACTCATAGATTTTAAAAATCCTTTCTAATTCCAGTATCAGAAGTAAACCTGAACCCCAAAAATTTCCAGAAGAAATCCGAATTTTCTCATCTATCTGCCTTATATTGAAATATTTATCTTACTTGCTAATAAGGTTTCATCTAATATTTTACTTTCATGAATTTTATTTCCTGGAACATGGAACCAATGTCCCCCCAAAGCCTATACACAACTGAAAGATTCCCAGCATCTAACTTAGTGGCAACACTCTAGGTAATGAACAAAAGCACCTTTGTTAGCTTATAGCTGAGGAAACTGAAGCTTCCTGAACAGAAGAGGCTGTCTAGGGTCATTCAATGAGCAAAGTAAAGGTCTGGAACTCTAGGCCAAGTCAGCTACCTCTGAAACTCTCATTCTTTCCCCCCAGGAAGCTGTGGACTCTTTCCTCTAACTGTGATCTCAAAATTCCCAGCCCAGATGCACTCAGACAGTGTAATGATCTGACCTGTCCCCCAAATTCATATGTTGAAACTCTACTGCCCATTGTGAAAGTATTAGGAGGCAGGGACTTTGGGAGCTGATTAGGATTAGATGAGGTCATGTGGATGGGGCCCCCCATGAACGGGATTAGTGTCCTTATAGGAGTCATGAAAGAGCTTGCTTCCTCTCTCTGCTCTCTGCTGTGTGAGGACACAATGAGAAGTTGGCAGTCTGCAATCTGGAAGAGTCCTCACCAGAATCGGACCACGCTGGCATCCCCATCTTGGACTTCTAGTCTCCAGACCTGTGAGAAGTAAATCTCTACTCTTTATAAGCCACCCAGTCCATGGGACTTTGTTATAGCAGCACAAATGGACTAAGATAGACAGGTAAAGTGAAGAAAAGATTGGGGTGTTGGTGGAGATGTTCTTTCTGGGGGTAGGGAACATGAGAAGAATGCAGCAGAGGCTGGAAATAACGAGAAGCAACGATCTAGACATTGGAGTATTGGCATCTTCGCTTGAAAGTCTTAACTGTAGGCAAATGAAAAATGTCCTGTGATTCTCATTCTGGGAGACTGGAGAGGTGTGGAGATATTTTTGGTTGTGGTATTGACCAGGGAGCCCTGCAGGCAGCCAGTGCGCAGGAGGCTAGGGATCCTGAACAATCCATCCCACACAGGGGAGGACTGTCCGCCCACGGGTAGGTGGTGCTTCCCGCCCCACTGAGAAGCACTGTCTGTCTAAAGAAGTGGTTTTCCAAGTGTGGTCCTTGAACCAGTAACATCAGCATCACCTGGAACCTGTTAGAAAAGAAAATTCTTGGGTACCACCCAAGACCTACTGAGCCAGGAACTCTGGGAGTGGGGCCCAGCCCTGTGCATTTTCTCAAACCCTATGGAAGACTGTGATATTCTGTTAAGTTTGAGAACCGCTTGTCCAAGGTGTGCTTCACATTGAACAGAACAGCATGACTTTCATCAATCTGGCAGACTCAAAGTTTGGGGTTTGAGGACCTGAGCATCAGGAAGCCTGGGTTCTTCTCCTAGTTTGCCGCCAAGAAAGCAGATGATCTTGTCCACATCATTGAACATCTCTGTCCCTCCCTCACCCATTCCTACCAGCCAGGGAGTTGAACTGGTTCACTGTTTCCCAGGCTTCAGTTATTCAAAAAAACACCATCGCAAGTTATGCCCTTTCTGTCTTTTTTTTTCTTTTCTGCTTTTTCTCCCCAAATCCCCCCAGCATGTAGTTGTATATTTTAGTTGTGGGTCCTTCTAGTTGTGGCATATGGGACACCACCTCAATGTGGCCTGACGAGTGGTGCCATGTCTGGGTTCAGGATCCAAACCGGCAAAACCCCTGGCCACCGAAGCAGAGCGCATGAACTTAACCACTCGGCCACGGCGCCAGCCCCACCTTTCTGTCTTCTTCTTGATTTCAACTTGCTTAATTTTTGTCTTTAAGTGGATCCACTGTTTTTACTTATATTAACTGAAGGGAAACTTTTAAAATTGGTAAATGGAAAACTTCTGTCATTTGCCACCGATAGGAGGTAACCAATAAAAATAAGCACAATGATAACATCTTTGATTTAAAAAAAGAAAAAAGGAAGAACATCAAGCGTCAAAGAGATGTTGAAGATACACAAGCCCGAAACTCAGATGGTCTTCCTGTTGTAATCAGAGACATTAAAAGAGAAGGTGAAAAGGAACGTGAGTCGGTGCTCTTTAACGCCGTGTCGGTGCCACCCAGGATAAACTTAGAGAGCGACTACAGCTGTCTCATCATGCATAAAGGATCACATTCCACATCCTGGGCTGCACTGAACTTGCTCATTTCCAGGGTTCCTGCTACTGTGAAAAAGGAAAAACCATCACAAAACCCAAATCTCCTCCCGTGTCATGGCCATAATGTTGAATTATTCACAGGGGGAAACGTCTCTAGGGATGAAACGTATGAATCAGAAGTATTGGAGAGTGAGCATATGCTTACCTGTGTTTCTAAGTCTTTGTTTTCATCCAACCTTTCTTCCAAGATGGGTTTTTCCTTCTCTTCTAGGTTAGGCAACTTCTGAAAAATAAAAGCCCTTCAGATTTACCCACTTGAAAGGGTTTTATACTACCATATAGCTGTTTAAGGCCACTTGAAAACTTGAGCACTCCTCTTTATATTTTTGTTGATGGTTCTGCCTACTGAGGCCTATTTTCAACAAAGGAGACTTTTGTACCCCAAGTGTTGAATTTTGCCTACCAACATGGTCTAACATAATGACACAAAGTTGTTTTTAAAAAAATTCTATATATATTTTTAAATTAGGAAATGAAAAATATCCAAATTTCTAACTTCTGTAGGATGTTTTAAAGCTCTTCCACCACTAGGCATTTCAGCAGGATACCAAGACTGGGGCTGAAGGCACCAAATTGTCTCCTCAACCCAGCCGCCATGTTACCCGCTACACCCCTTGAGACTCACAATCCTTGAACTAAAAGTTCTTTCTATGGTGTCTGAACTCAAGTGGCAAAGTCTTTCTGAGAGGAACTAGAGTCTGGAGGCTGTGAAGATGACACACAATTTGGAAGGCTGTTTACACTTCCTCTTCCGTTTCTAAGAAACACACTGACAATAACCAAATTTATAACTTTCAAAGATGCAAGGAAGTTTGATGGTGGAATTTAAAAATTTGCTCAAAGGACAGATTTCAAAAGGTTTTCAAAATCCTTTCTAATTCTCGTATCAAAGGTAAACCTGAGGGGGCCGGCTGGCCCCATGGCCGAGTGGTTAAGTTCACGGGCTCTGCTTCGGCGGCCCAGGGTTTCACCAGTTTGAATCCGGGTGCGGACATGGCACCGCTCATCAGGCCATGCTGAGGTGGCATCCCACATGCCACAACTAGAAGGACCCACAACTAAAATATACAACTATGTACTGGGGGGCTTTGGGAGAAAAGGGAAAAATAAGAAATCTTAAAAAAGAAGGTAAACCTGAAACCTCAGAATTTCCAGAAGACACCCTATCTGCCTTAATATGAAAATATTTATCTTACTTCTTTCTTAAAGATTGGCACCTGAGCTAACAACTGTTGCCAATCTTCTTCTTCGCTTTCTTCTTTTTATTGCTTTTTCTCCCTCAAATCCCCCCAGTACCTAGTTGTATATTTTAGTTGTGGTCCTTCTACTTTTGCTGTGTGGGACGCCGCCTCAGCATGGCCTGATGAGCGGTGCCATGTCTGCGCCCAGGATCCGAACCTGCGAAACCCTGGGCCGCTGAAGCCGAGCACGTGAAGTTAACCGCTTGGCCACAGGGCTGGTCCTTATCTTACTTCTTTTTTTTTTTTTATTTTTTATTTTTAAAGATTTTATTTTTTTTTTTTTTCCTCTTTCTCTCCCAAGCTCCCCAGCACACAGTTGTATATTCCTCGTTGTGGGTCCCTCCAGCTGTGGCACGTGGGACGCTGCCCCAGCGTGGCTCGATGAGCAGCGCCATGTCCGCGCCCAGGACCCGAACCAACGAAACACTGGGCCGCCCGCAGTGGAGCACGCGAACCCAACCACTCGGCCACGGGGCCAGCCCCCTTTATCTTACTTCTTAATAAGACTTCATCTAGAGCTTTACTTTCACAAATTTTATTTTCTGGAAAAAGGAACCAATGTCTCCCAAAAGCTTATAGAACCACTGAAAGATTCTCAGCATCAAAGTTATGGGCGACCACTCCAGATAAAAATTGAAAGCCCCCCTTCCGTTATACTGCTTGGAACTCTGAACTCACCTGTTCACAGACATTTGTCCTGTTTTTCTTTAATAGTTCAGGGGAGCGTTCACTTTCCCTTTCCTCGTTAGAAGGAGCACCGCTTTGGTATGATTCTCTTTCCCTTTGGGGCAGCTGGATGCATTTTGCAAGCTTAAATTCTGCATTTGGTGTCAATTGTACAGTCTCTACCTTTCCACAATTCTGCTTGAAAAGGAGTCTCGCATTGGCAATGACAATGGAAGCAAACCTCTTGATGTCTTCTGGAACCAGCCGCGCCACCATGACAAATCTCTCAAGGTCGTCCAGGCTGTTTTGGGCTGTGTCAGTCACAAGGACTTCCAGGGGCCAGTCGCAGCGGTCCAGGCTCTCCTTTGTTTCAAGCAGGATGTGGTAGGAGTTGGAGATGGTCTGTAGCTGATCCTTAATTCTGGCCTCAAGGTTGCTGTCGGTGAGGTTACATGCGATTCCACAGACTCTGCAGGCAAAATCCAGAAATTCTCTCAAAGATTCTTCTATGTGGTTGGCAGCCCTGCGGATTGCATCGATGTTGGCCTCCAGATAGTCTCTGAACCTCCACTTCCTACTTACGAAGAGCATCAGGCCTGCGACAGAACTGGCCACCTTGTGCTGCAGAGCTGTTACTGTCTCTTTGGCCAAGTCCAGGTCCAAGGAGAGTTCCTTTACTGCCTCCTCCGAGAAGGAGCCAGAAGAAGAGTCGGTGGATGTGGAGGAGCATGAAGAAATGACGCTGGCTCTGCTGTCAGAACTGGAAATGGATAATCTGTCTGATTCAGGAGATAGCGATGTGGCCCGTCTGGAGAACCACGAGGAATTATGGTCCATGGAATTCTCTGAAGCCCCATCGGCTTTTCTCGGCTCTTTCCCAGCCTGAGGGACACTTGGCATGGCTTTAGGGATGTCGTAAATGTTTGGCCTGGTATTCTGCTGTTCCACTCGAGGAATCAGAAAGCTTGAAGGAACCTTATAGCTGACAGCCTCATCCAAAGGGAATGTGTCCCGTGGGGCTGGAAAGCTATAAGAAGGTATTTCTGGAAGGCTGAGTTTTTTCTGCATGGGCGCATTTTTATGCAGGTGTGGAGTGAGGGATCTTTCTCTGCTATTCAGAGGACTTTGAAAACTGGACATGTACCTGGGGAGAGCGTGGCACTCCGATTCTTCCACAAAGCTGGTTAGAGATACATTCCTTATATTGGCTTTTTCTGGAGACACTGGAGTGTCATAAATCCATTCTGATTTCTGAGGGCTCGGTAACGTGTTGTAGCCGCCTCTCCTCAAGGCAATTGTTGATGTCAGGGGAACACTCTGGCCCTGTGAAGAGCCACACAAAGTCGCCCAGTTTAGTAACAATAAAAAGAGGGTGTGAGCAACTTATATGACAAATGTGTGTTATACTGAGGACCTAGTGAGGGCCAGGCACTGTGCTTCTTAAAAATCTGATCTTCATTTCCCTGCTCAAGCTTCTTCAGGGGTTCCCCATTGTTGTTATCACTCAAGGCCCTTCACGGTCCGGTTCCACTCTCCTTTAGAGCCTCCTTTTTTTCCACTTCCACCAGGCCTCCCCACCATGCCTGTCACTCCCCTCCTTGTAGGTCCAGCCTCCTGGGCTGTTTACCCTTCCCTGAGCTCAGAGTGCTCACTCGTGCCACCATATTGAATTTTACCCAAACTGGTCCCTCTGCTCTGAATACTTTTCCAACTCTTTCCTTTCCATCTAACAAACTCCTCTGCACCCCTCAGGACACTCCTGCAATGCCACTTCTTTTGTAAGATCTTTCCTAATGACCTTGGACATAGGTGTATTTATTGTATATATGTGTCAGAATCCAATGATAAGCATGCACTACAGATTTCAAGTTATGGCACCTCCCTTACAGACAGGAAAATGGACTTTAACACAACATGTCGAGGGGTGTAGAACAAGAAGCAGCATTTACCTAAGGACTGCTGAGCTCTTGCTCTGTGCCAGTCACTGTACGGGGTCCTTCGCAGGGACCATTGTGAAACTGGCTCAACACAAAGTTGACATAAGGGAAGCCATATTGTAGAAAAGAGACCGTGTTGTAACTTTGAGTGACCTCTGACTGACTAACCCAGCTGGATTTGCAGCCTCCAGGAGATCCACCTGTTCTGTAGATTTTATGACCCCTGCTTGTGCATGTACCTCCCAGCTGCGATAAGATGATAATTTCATTCTTTTGTGTTCCTAATGTGATGACCCCCACACCGAGAGTCTATGCTGGCAGCCATCATCAATGAAAACTGGAAGGTCTGGCGTGGCGACTCCCAGTCTGTCACACCAGAGGGTCAACATTCCTAACCCTCTCCTCTATAACCCACTGGCCTTTATAACTGCTTCAAATTTCTGTGCCCCCTTAAAATGGTTCTTTTGGACGTTAGTCGGCCATCTTCCCTCTTCCTAGCAAGCTAAAATAAAATGCCCTTTCTCTGCCACCATCTTGCCTCTTGACAATTGGCTTTTGTGTCGTGGCGAGCAGATCACGCCCTTCGTGCAGTAACAATCGCGATACTCACAGTGAGTCCGTGAGAAGAAACTGAGGCATGGAGAAGTTAAAGGACCTGTCTAAACCACTAGCTAGTCTTGTTCCTAAACACCACGGCACTTAGGGATTTTGTCTCAAATGAAACAAGTTCTGCCATGAGGAGTTTGCATTCCTAATTCTGACCAAGTGAAGAGAATTTCCCAGAGGATGTTCAGGTCTTCACGGCATCGAACCTCAGCACCTTGTCATACTCACGCCTGGTTGGCCGGCTGGGGCACCGAGTACTGCCTTTTGGGGGCTGGCGGGTATGTCATACACCTGCTGTTTCTCTGGCTCCTGGGGAAAGACCACAAAGGAGGACAACTTGGATTTTCCCTTCCTGATGGCTGCACACCACAAACTCTCCCACTCTAGTGTTTTTTTCAAATAGAAACACAAATCACAGAAGATTTTGGGGCTTTTAGTCACGATGCTCTTATAGTGGAAGTTTCCGTGCTGCATGGGGTACATTTTTAACAATCGACTCTGTGCTGTGGAAAGGTGCCTTCTCACCCAGAGGTGAGACAAACTACAGAGAAAATTAATGGCAGTTGCCTGAGTTAAGAAGAGTAGTTCATTTCCTTCTGTAAATTAACCTTAAGATTGAATTAAAGAAGAATAAATGAGATTGGGACTGAACATGTCTTTTGTCTTTCTTGTTTCTTTTTCTCACTAGAAATTTCCTGTGCTTATAACTCATGTATTCATCCTGCCCATATTCACTGAGTGCCTACTAACTTCTAGACGCTGAGCCAAATGACACATACACAGCCAGTAACCAGCAAAAGACATAGAGCCAGTACCGCTAATTAGCATTTTTTGGTACAGCAATTAGAAAATACACATATTAGGATGTGAAAAATAGGTCCTATGTTCCTAATCGAGGTGAGAGAGCAGCAAAACAGGTTTTATAAAGAAAGAGAGAAAAAGCTGGAATTTGCAGAGGGGGTTTTTTTGGAGAGGGTGGAGCTGTGGGTTTCCGGCTGTCCCCTCCTCGGTTGGGGAGGGTGGGGCTCTTGTCACTGCCCTCCAGCCAAGTGGAAAGTGCTCCAGTGGGACCTTCGATGACTTGAATTGTGCCACCTGAGCTTGGGGTCTTAGTGCACGGTGGCTAACTCTGGCATGGGAGAAGTTAAGGGTGAAAATCTGATGACAAAGGACAGGCTGGTGGCTGGCTGGCATGGCCTGTTCTCAGGGCAGGAAGAGTGTGAGGAAAAGTGAAGCAGCCCCCTGGGGCACAACATTGAAGTGGGCACCAAAAACTTCAGGAATCAAGGTAAATAATATCTTAATGCGATATTTTAAGAAATCACAATCAATGTGAAAAAACCGTGATGAACGAAATGTCGACATTTTAAATAAAGACAGGATCCAGCAGGGCCGGGCTGAAGGGGAGGGAAGAAGTGGAGTCCCGCAAGTGTGTGTGTTTAAAACTTTTGTGCCCAAGGCGAGTGCCTCCTGCTCCTCTCCTCGTCCCCGCGCAGCCTGTGCGCCTGGAGTCCCTCAAGGCAAAGGGAGACTGTGTTTTCAGGGACCAGATGGGGATCATGTGAGGGCTGGAGCCAGAGCCAGCCTGGAGAGGGCAAGACTGTCAGGAGGATGGGGCAGGAGATGACCCGCTGGCAGGGCTAACAGAGGAGCCTTGGTCAGCAGCCAGAGGAGGGGCGTTTGCCCCCATCAAGGAGCCGGTGGGTACGAGCTGCCGGGCAGTGAGGTGGGGAGGCAGGGCGGCACTCGCAGGAAGGCCCCAGCACAGAAAGCGTTTGCTGCTGGAATAGTATTTAAATTCCTCCCCTGAGTCTGCTAAAGTGACTTCTTATTACTCGTGGGTGACCCCGAAGGCACAGAGCCTGCTCGAGTTTCTGCTTACCCCAGAGCTGAGGCTCCCAGCCCTGCCTGCACTGTAGAATCACCCGGGAGCTTTAAAACTCCTGCTGCTTGGGGCCCACCTGACCTCAGACGTCAGTCTCTGGGCGGGCCAGGCAGCAGGTGTGGCCAAAGCACCAGGTGATTCATTGCGTTGACGGGGCGGGAGAGCGCAGTTTGGATGGGCTAGGAAACGAGGGAAGTTGCTTTCTGATTACCTGAAGCAGGTCTCACAAATTTGATGTACCAGTTACGTACAAATAAGAAAAAAAAAAAAAAAACCTTTAAAATTTCATCCCCCAGAGATAATCAATGTTAAGATAACCAATGATAATGTTAAGACGGTGATGGATATCCTTCAAGATATTTTTATTTCAGGGCTGGCCCGGTGGCATAGTGGTTGCGTTTGTGCACTCCACTTTGGCAGCCTGGGATTTGTGGGCCCACATCCTGGGTGCGGACCTACACACTGCTCATCAGCCATGCTGTGGCAGTGTCCCACATGTAAAAATAGAGGAAGATTGGCACAGATGTTAGCTCAGCAACAATCTTCCTCACTAAAAAAATATTATTTAAAAAAATGCATATATGTGGACGTATACACATGTGTGTGTGTTTGTGTGTACAGATAAAAAATATCTATTACAGGGGCTGGCCCGCTGGCTCGGTGGCATGGTGGTTAAGTTCACACATTCTGCTTCAGCGGCCCAGGGTTCGCCGGTTCAGATCCCGGGTGTGGACATGGCACTGCTTGGCAAGCCATGCCGTGGTAGGTGTCCCACATGTAAAGTAGAGGAAGATGGGCATGGATGTTAGCTCAGGGCCAGTCTTCCTCAGCAAAAAGAGGAGGATTGGCAGATGTTAGCTCAGGGCTAATCTTCCTCAAAAAAAAAAATCTATTATAAATGAAAAGTAACCATTTTTTAAATATTCAGAATTCAAGTAATCACAACATTCTCCTGAGCAGGTTTGGGCTCCCTGGGACAAAGCTGGCTTCTGAGTGGTGACGTGACCTTTGGAGTCAGGAGTGGATCAAAGCTCCTGAAGACCGTTGTCGGTACAGCTGAAACACTACATCTGTGTGACACTGAGGACCCCACACTCCGGGCGGAGCAGGGCCAGGGTCGAGGCTCACCTTCAGGGCTGGTGGTCCCCGGCTCTGGGCAGGCACGTCATACACCTGGGAAGGCAGAGTTGGCAGCGAGGCCCAGGCAGGTCTGGGAATTGTGAGGAGGGCCTTGGGGAGAGAAAGAGCAGAGGGGAAAGACACGTCAGCCCTGAGTGCACGGATCACATTCAGGTTGTCCCTCAGACAGCCAAGGCAGCTCTGACACTGCTGAGGGGCTCTCCCGGCACCCCTAACCGGTGGCCCTTCACTCTGAGGCCGGGAGCAGCAGATTGCTGTGGGGAGGTTCCCCGGGGAGGACAGCCTTCCTCACATGGGGCCATAGCTGCCTGCGTCCATCTCACCCGGGAAACGGGTTAGAAATGCAGATTCCTGGGCCCCGTGGCGGTTGTACTGAACCTCTGAGTCCTGAGGGGAAGTCCCGGGATCTGCAGTCCCCACCAGCTTCCCAGGGCTCTGATGTTCTCTAGGGATCTGAGGCTGTGATTCGACTCCTGGCTTATTGTTCATCCGGTGATGCTGAGGATGCTGCTGCGAACGAGACAGGCAGAGGGGCTTTAGGGTCTGAAGTGGAGGGACTAATGGGGTTGGGGCGGAAGCAGAGGCCTGTCGTGGGCCGTGTCGCCTGGGCTGAGAGCTGATAGGGAGCAGGAGGCGAGCAGAAGGCTGTGGCCCGCAGCTTTCACTGGCAACAGTGGGAGGCAGGAGGGGACTTGGTGATTCCGAGGATCGAAAGTGACTGGAGAAAAGCGAGCAAAGGGAGGAGAGAGGTGGGGTCGGAAACGTCCTGTGAAGGAGTCTGGATTTTACCCCACAAAGGGCTGGACCTCCAATCAGATGAAGGGCACTTGGTCACTTGTTGCCCTTGCTGCTGTGGAAAACAGAACGTGTCTCAGCCGTGGAGTCTGTGCCTGTAAATGGGAACTCGGGATTCGAGTCAACCCCCTGGAACTCGCTGATGTTGACTCTGGGGCGGGCACCCTGCCGGCTGCTCCAGGGTGGCAGCATCCAAGCCTGGCCGGGTCTGAACTGGCAAATTTTAAAATAGTGGCGTTGCCAGGGCTCCACCTCAGACCTCTTGAACTAGAAGGTCTCTGGGGGGGGGGGGGCCTGGGAGTGGGCGGTTTTAGAGGGCAGTGGATGCTGAGGGTCCCTATGTTCCCGACGGTAACCCAGCTCTGTGCCTGGCATGGGGTAAGCGCTAGTATCCGTTTGTTTGTTTTGCTGAAAGAATGTGTATGGCTTGAGACAGTAGGTAGTGGCCGAGTGGGTCCCACCATTCCTCAGGTCAGAATAAGAGATGCAGATGGAGCAGCTGCAAGTGGACAGGACCAATGCTTCTCCAAGGACTTGCTCAGCTGTCGCGTGTCGAAACAACCTCCCTCTGAGAGACAACTGCTTTCTAACTCACTGGTTCTCTAAAATCCTAGGCTCTCAGAAGCATTGCTGTCTGGAGTTCCGTCAGGAAGAAGGAAACATCCCACGCTTGCCAGAGAAGCAGCCTCCATTCCCGGCCCCCGCACAGAGCTTCAGATAAAGAGCATCAGACACGACAGTCCACATCTATCCTAACGTTGTGGTTCCGAGCAGAGAGCAGCCTGCGTCCGCTTTGCAGTCCAAGCTGACACTGACCCCTTTACTCACTGCCCTGTTTTGCACAGATCTTATCAAGATAGGGCTTCATTTACGTTTCACCTAAACCCCACCTTTCCCCCAACCCCATAGTGATGCTGTGCCTCTTCTGCGACACAGCCTGTGCTTCCTCTGCTCTATGATCCCCGTCTCTGCGGCGGGTCAATGAACCTGACTTTGTCCCTGCTGGTCTCAGGCTGATTGGTGTAGGACAAGCTCGTCAATGGTCCTCCATTGTGCTCTGAGTTAAGTCCAAGCTCCCACCAGACCATGCCCTGCCCAACCCCAGGGACCGGACCATGCATGACGTGTCCCTTGCCACCAGCTATCACCTCTGCTCTTCCTTCCTCCCTGCCCCCGCTTATTCGAACACACCAAGCTCCCCGCAACCACAAGAGCCTTTCCAAACACGCATCTGTCGCCTACTGCTCCCCTGTGACCCCAGGCCATTTTATTTGTGTAGCTGACTTTGTGGGTCACACATGCCTACAAGACCACCTACAGAGAGCAAAGGGAGTTTCCTGTGTGTGGAATTTTAGGTGGAAGGAAGCTGGTTCAAAAACGCCCAGGGTTTCTTAGAAATCGTAGGTTCAAGATGGCAACCAATAAAGGAACATGTCTGAGAAACAAGGTTTCAAAGGTTTAAGGGGACAGAAGGAAAGTCCAGTTCAGGAACTAGTGGGTCTGAGAGCAATTTCATTAGGAAATCTGACCCTTTTCACTTAAACTACTAAAGATTCCCCTCTCCGAATTTAAACTCATATCAAATATATTCTTTATATGATGATTAAAAAAAAAAAGCCAGGCCAGCATATTATGTTAAGGAAGTTGGAACGAAAAGTAAGACAAAGCTCAAGAGAGTGGTTACCCTGGGGGGAAGTGACTTGGAGAAGGTGCGAGGGGCTTCTGAGGTGGTAGTTGGTTCTGTTTTTTGACCTGGATACTAGTGACTGAGCTGTACCCTTAGGATCTATAGGTTAAACTTTAACAAAAAAATAATGCAAAGAATAGTGTCAGCCACAGAGTCAGGCAAAGGAAGATCAAGGGCATGCCAACATGCCTAGGACAAGGGCTCTGCCTTCGGTCGTTAGCCATCTGGGGGCGTAGACAGACATGCACAGACATGATAAGTAAGCTTTAGTCTCATCAGCCATGTGACCTGGACAGGCCTTTTCACTTCCCTGGGAATCAATTTCTTCATTTGTAAAAAGAGGAGTTGTTCCAATCTAAAGGCTCACCGGGGTCTCTTCCAGCTATAGAGACGTCTGATTCTGACACGTAGACTCCTCTCTTAGGACATTTGGGAAAAGTGACATATTTCTACCCTCTTGGTTTTTAATTTTTGGCCAACTTTAACCTAGAGATAGTCAACCCAGGTATAAAAGGAATCTGTGAAATGGCTGGCCCAGGTCATGTTCCAAGCCTGTGAACTGCCCGTAGGAAAGCAGCTCAAAGCTAGTGGCTGGACTTGCCTCGTTCTATCAACGACCACTTCTGCTCAGAACGCATTTCCTGGGCAGTCTCAGACTCAGGGCTACCCGCTAGATTGCACCAGTGGGGAGCAGATGTCTGCCTACTCTGTGAATTGCAGGATTCTTGACTGATTATCATCTTCGATTTCTTCTGTCTCCTTCCTTCTTGTAGTAGAGGTAAAAGCAAGATTATTTAGAATCACCAAAAGGTTCAACTCAAGGTGACCTTGGAAATGATCAGGTCCAACCCTCTCATGACACTAAGCAAGAAAGAGAAGTACAGAGGGGTTTTGTGATATTTCTGACCCCCAGCACAGCCGTGGCTGCCCCGGAAGCCGCGTGAGCCAGGACTCCTGATTTCTAAGCCACAGAGCGCACCTCTCGCTCTGAGAGACCCCCAAGCACAGACAAGGCAATAAAGAAAAGTGGGGAAGGAGGGAGCAAAAATGTTGACAGGGCAGCCATAGAGGAAACTTCAACAGAAATAAAAGGCAGGAACGTTCCCCCGGTGTTCTGCTGGAGCCACCTGGGGAACCTACTCGAGTGACGAAGAGCCCCTGGTTTCTAAATTCCCCTTCGGTCGCTGTGGTTTCTGTCGATTCCTGCAGCCTGCACAAGTGAGGGCTCCCACTGCGGACATGCTTCATGGCAAGGACAAATCTCGCAGCTAAGGCTCTGACCCTGTCCTGAGTTAAGCTGGGATAGTAAACACATCTTTCCTTCTATACCAATGTCAGTCTAGAAGTTGATCGTGAAGCCCATGGTTATGAAGCCTTATGATGTACCTTGTCACTTCACTCATTGAACAAAGGTTTATTGAGCACCTCATAGGAGCCTGGCGCCATCCTGGGTGTTAGGGACACCTGGCCAACAGCAGACATTGCATCTGTTTTCCTTTTAGGGAGAGATGGAAATGGCCTTTGAGGTTTTTGTTTCTTTAGGGCCTTTGAAAAGAAACTCAAATTGACTTCAGCAAAAGCCACTTGTTCTTGGAGGAACCATCAGCAAGGCCCTGCTCTGAGTCAGCTGCTCAGATGGCAGCTGAGCATGCCAGGCCTAGCTTTGGGCCAGTTGTTCCAGAAAAGCATCCCCAGGGGCTGCGGCAGAACACTCAGCCAGCTTCCTTCTGGCGTTTGTCGCCAGCGCCGATGAGCGGCAGCTGTTCTGTGTAACAACTGTCTGTTTCTCTGCCTGGCAGCCCAGGGAGTTAGAAAATCTGAAGTATTCAAAAGCTTTTAAGAAATCAACACCTTCCCTTTTGAAAGAGGTGTCGGAAGCTGGTGTGGAGGGGGCCTCCGTGGTAACATACATCACGGGGAGTGGCCTACCTGGACACAGACCTTGCCAAGACCTCTAACCAGAGCTGTGACCAGGTGGGATATGTCATTTGAGCTGAAAGCACAGTGTGTGATGGCAGGAAATGTCCACAGTGACTGAAGACCATGAAAATCTGTTCTCCATTCTTAACACCTCTTGAAGGCCAGGGCTTGGGGAGGAAACAGTACATTATTTTTCTCCTTTCTTCTTCGAATTCCTTTCCATCTTTAAAAAGAATATTTTCATTCTGCATTTACTGAGTACTTCTTTTCCTCTGTTTTTAAAAATCATTATTTTAAAAAATTACAGCTGTAATACAAGCTCTGCATAACACAAATCAACTTCCTAATCTCTTTGTTCATCAAATGCTTATTGAGTCCCCAGCCCAGGCCAGGCAGTGTCCTAGATGCTGGGATGTAGGAGTGAGTAAAACAGAGGTCCCTGCCGACCGCCTCCTTTCGCTTTCTCCTTAACCAGTTCTGCTTCCTAAGGGTAACCACCGTTGGCGTGTGTTCTTTCCAATGTGTGAGCATGCACACTTACACACACACCCACAATGTTTTTTTTGAGTTTCTGTTTGTTTGGTTTTTGTTTAAAAAGCTCTTTCTTCCACCTTATAAATACCTCACGGAACTACTTCATCTCTTTTTCACAGCTGCATAGTAGCTCGTTGTAGGGACATGACAAAATTTATGAAACCGATCCCCCATTAACAAACATCAGGCATCTTCGATTTTTCCCTGTAACAGTGCTGTAATGGCCACAGCCTCCCCATCCAGATATATCTTTGCCATCTTATGTATGTATCTGTAGCCATTCTGGGAGTAAGTTTCTAGGTTCATCGGGAATATGTATTTGAAATCTGATGAGTTGTTTCTTGCCCTCGAACCCATGGAAATTCAGCCCCTCCATTGACCACCAGCAGTCCTAGTGTTCCTCCTTCTTGTAAGAGAAAACCACCATGAACATCTGTGATGCTTTCATGCACAGCTTGACCGAGCATTCAGTTTTCTACAAAGTGCGGGTGTCTTGCAAAGCTGGGGAGTCAGAGCGGAGAGTGTTAATGATGACTGATGTGGGGGCAAACACGAGGCCACCCGATCACACCAACGGTCCGGTTCCCGATTTGCGCATTCGCCTTCCTGATGGACACCGATGACTCAAGGGGGAGTTAAGTCCCTGGGTGCTACATATCCTTTGACCCATCCCGTTTATTGGGAAATGTGCTTACCTGTTTGGGAAAGCTTAGAGTCTTTTCACAGACGATTCTGGCGCTGGCAGGCAGGTCAGGGAATTCATAGACTTGGATGGTGGGCGGCGGAGGCCCCTCCACCCAGCTCTTCATCTGCTCATATATGGGGCCTGGAGGTGGGGGGCTCAGTAGGGTGGGCACCTGGTAGTTCTCTTCGGAGCTGGTGAGAGCTTCTTCCAGGCCTCTCAGGCAAGGGGGACAGAGCCTGTCTGCAGGGGCCTCTGTGAGGATTTGGAGGCGGTTGGCAGGGGCCAGGCCTTGCCTCCCATGGAGCAAACACTTCCACCAGCCCTCGCTTTCCGGCACATTTTGTTCCAGAATGGTCAGGATGTCTCCTCTGCAGAAAGCCAGCTCGTCAGAGCAGTCGGGCTGGTTGTCATAAAGTGCTTTGGCCAAGAGTGTCTGGGGGCAGGGAGAGAAGAGAATTCATTGTTATCACCATTGCCAATGACCACTATACCAACGTCACTCACCTAGGAACGTTAGAGAATAGTCACAATGGCTATTTAATCTCGTTTCCTCAACCCCAGAGGCCCTTGTCTCTGTTATTTGCCTGATTTATTCCTACCCATCCTTGGGGTCTCAGGTGAAATGTCACATCCTTACAGAAGTCTTACCTGCACCCTGAAAGCAGGTTCAGGCTCCCTGATATGCTGTCGTGGCCCTGATTTAATTTGTGGCACGCAGTACCCTTGTAGTTACATATAGAGTGCAGTGTAGCACACAGTAGGGTTGAAATCCTAGCTCGGTGACTTCCTAGCTGTGCACCCTTGAGCAAATTATTTACTCTCTTTGGGTCTTAGTTTCCTTGTCTGTAAAATGGGGTTAATAATAATATCTACCTCATAGAGTCACTGTGAGAATTAAATGGGTTGATACGTATACACAGCTCAATGAACAGCGCCTAGCATTTAAAAGTGCTCGGTAAAGGTTGGCTGTGACTGTCATAATTATTATATTGCTCTTTGTTGGGTTGTCATTATTTTTCTCCTGAATTGGGTTGGAAGTTCCATGACTGCTGGGACCATATCTTGCTTTTTTTCTGCTCTGTCCCCAGCGTCAAGTGCAGACCCAGGTGCCTAGGAGATGCTAGGCAAAGGTTCCTGAATCCTTGCACGATGGAACAAAGACACAGGGGTTAGTAGTGACTTGTCTGTGGCCACACAGCCAGGATCAAAAGACAGTCAGTCTCCCTGATTCTCAGACCCACGCTTTTTTGCAGGCCACACGGTCCTCCAAAAAAATCACTCTTTTGCAATGGCAGTGATGGTTAATGCCCCTTCTTATTGGAACTTTCTGCTGTAATTAAATGAAGGCAATTTGTTTCTGTTGGGTTAACAGAATCACCTCCCTTGTTACGTCAGTGCATATTTATTACAGAAAAATTAGGACATATAGAGAAGCAAAAAGAAGACGATGAAATTTACCCACAGTCCCACCAGAGGTAACTACCCATACCATTTGGTATTTATCCTTCCAGTTGCTTTTTTCTTTCTTTAACTAAATTTAGTTAATTATACTTTTTATACCCTTAGCCTCTAATAGGTATAGTTTATGAATAAGGCAAAAATGACCAAACCTTCCATTACATTTGTTGAAAACTGTTGCTTTTTTGGCATAATAATGTTTTTCTGTTACAAAAATGGAATTGGATGGCCAAGGGCTGAAAAATACCACCTTAAACGCACAGTCAGGTCTGTGTGGATCTAGGGCAACGCTGCTTCACGAGCGTCTGAGAAGCAGAAATGGAATTAGATCCTTCACACGGGCAAATAGGCTTTGAAGACGCCTCATAAAATCCACTGCAACTGAGATCCTGGGAGAGCGTGACCAGCTTTTGCACATGAAACTTTTTTCTTACTACAAAAGCAATAAAAGTTCATTCAAGAAAGAATACAAATAAGGATAAACAATAGAAGAAATAAAAAAGTGCCACCGACCACAGGTTGCCACCATTGTCCCTTAGGTTTGTGTCTTTCCAGACCTTTTCTCGTGCATATTTTTTCATACACCCACCTAGAGCCATGGTTATGTTTTTAAAACTTAACGGGATCATATGCTACATACAGTTTTATAACCTGCATTGTTTTCACTTAAAAACAGATTGTGAACATCTTTCTGTGTCAACAAACAATTTTCAGTATCCTTTTAAATACCACCATGATTTTCCATTGTATGGATGAACCACACTTGTCCTTCCTGGTCTGGGGACATTTTAGCTAATTCCAGTTTTTAGCTGTTACAAACAATGCTGAAATGATCATCTTCGTAGATAAGTATCTGCAGCTCGTCTTGTTTATTTCCCTCGATAAATTTCCAGGTGGGAAGTTGGTGGGGGAAGTCCTTAGGGCTCTTCCTTCTGCGCTGTTCAGGGCCCTTCAGCACGGTCTGACTCATTTCTGCGTCCACCCACGGGAATGAGCCTGCCCTTTTCCTTGCACTCTGACCTACCCTGTTTAGCTCTTTGTTGGATGGCACATTTTCTTTTGAAATCTTTGTCAAGGAAGCTTGAAGTGTCTTTTAACACGTTCTTGCAAACACTCAGACTCCTCAAAACTACCGACCTGGCTGCAGCCTTCACGCCGCTCTGAGTGGATAATTCACACGTGCCTTGGGAAGGGTGTCACCTCCTTGCTGCGCTCCACTGTTAACTCATCTTTAAAAGAAGGAAAATAGTCCCGAAGAGTAACAGGCATGCTTGTGGTGAGGGCCATTGCTGCCTGTAGAGGTTTCCTCTCTCACCCATGGTGAACCCCAAATCCTCAGCTGAGCGGGGTGGCATGAAGTCTCAGTCGTCTGAGTGAGATTATGAGATTAAGTTGAGAAGCAGACTTGGAGCTAATTCAGAACATCACTGTCTCTCCGTGTCAGGCATGCTTAAAGTGTCCCATTGGGTAAGCCATTTGTTCCTTCACAAACTCAGCCAACACTTACTGAGTGTGCACAGCACTGTTCCCAGTGCTTGAGTTGTCAAGAACATGATTTTTGATCATGTCACTCCCCACTCTATGACCTCTCGATGGTTCCCCAGTACCCTTGAGATGAAGCCCAAACTCTGCCCAAACCTTCATGGCGCTGTGTAATTCTGCTCCTGCCCACATTTCTGGCCTCATGGTATCACTTCCTCACCAGTCCGCATGAGTGTCACCCTTACTGGGGGGCTCGAGTCCTTCGCAATGCTGTTCCCTCTACCCAAACCAGTCAGCAGATTCTCAGCCAGTGAATCCCACTCATCCTTCCAGACTCATCTTAAATGTTTCTTCCTCGGAAAAGGACTCCGACACCCAGGCTAAATTCGTTCTCCCCATTTTTCTGCTGAACACCTTTTCTTGTCAGCCCTTATGACACTTGTATGTACAGTAATTCACTCTTATCTGTGGTTTTGCTTTCTGAGTTTTCAGTTACCCATGGGCAACTGTGGTCTGAAAATACTAAATGGAAAATTCCAGAAGTAAACAATTACTAAGTGTTAAATTGCGAGCTGTTCTGAGTAGTGTGATGAAATCTCACACCGTCCTGCTCCCTCCCGCCCAGGATGTGAATCATCCTTTTGTCCAGTGGATCCACGCGGTGGGCACCACCAGCCCGTTAGTAATTGGTAGCCTTGGTTGTCAGATGGCTGTTGCAGTATCACTGTGTTCATGCTCAAGGAACCCTTCTTTTACTTAATAATGGCCCCAAAGCACAAGAGTAGTGATGCTGGCAATTCAGATATGCGAAAGAGAAGTTATTGTTGTTAATCTCTTACTGTGCCTAATTTAGAAATTAAACTTTCTCATTAGTATGTATATATAGGAAAAACACGGTATTTATATGGTTTGGTACCATCCGTGGTTTCAGGCATCCACAGGGGGTTGGAACACATCCCCGCAGATCAGTGGGGACGACTGTAATTCATCAGGTGGGCAATTACGTATTCTGCATCTGTTTCCCTGCTAGAGTGTAAGTCCCAGGAGAGCAAGGCTGCACCCTCTTCGCTCTCACCACATCTCAAGCTCCCAGCACACAGGAGGTGCTGTGTGGTGAGTTAATGGGTGGATAAGGATGAGTAATGTGATGCCCTCATGTCCAAGTCTTTGGGAGGTAAAGAGACACACAGCACCAAGATGAAAGCTCCCATTTGTGTTTAGATCAGGTCAGAAGGAAGCTCTCTTTGGCCGTCTGCCCACCCATTCCCTTCAGGAAGAAGGACCACTGAGACATCCGGAAGATGGACCTCAAGCCCTGGCTAGCCTGCGCACCCCATTACTGTCCCTTGACTGTGTTGTGAGCAGGTTCCACGTGAATGTGGGTGCTTGGCTTGGAGGATACAGCAGAGATGAAGCGTTTAGTGGGAATAGGGTTTTAGAGTCTTAGAAAGAGTATCGATTAAAGGTCAAGACTTTGTGAAGTTACATGCTACTTTGCAGATTTTCTTTTCTTTTCTTTCCTTTTTTTGGAGAGGAAGATTGTCTCTGAGCTAACATCTGTGCCAATCTTCCTCTATTTTGTATGAGGGATGCTGCCACAGCAGGGCTTGATGAGCAGTGTGTGGGTCCATGCCCGGGCCAAAACAGAGCATGCAAACCGGCTGAGCCCTGTAGATTTTCTTTTCCAGTTAAAGTTTCTGGCAAATAATTTCTGTTCAGTAGGAAAAGATAACTTGAAACGTTACAGTTTATTACTTTGTCAAACTTTAACTAGATCTGTATCTAGCCCTGAAATCCTATCCTCATATTCCTTTATTAAATTGCCTAGAAATACCTAGATCTTCAAATGCCCCTTGAGCTGGTCTTAACATTTTTCTGGTTCCCTCATTAATTAATCAGTTTACTAAAATCTTTGACACAAGTTCATTTTCTATTTGCACAAGAATCACGATCTTACTTTTGAAAATTATGTTTTGTCCACACTCGGAAGAAAAGGGAAAATAAAAACAATCTCTAGACGGTCATCATGAAGTGCATTTAAAACAGTCTTAAAAGAAAAAGCC